ACCTTGGGTCAAACTGGAATCTGCCACCCCCTGAAAAAATCCTGACTCTCCTGTGCACTGAGAAAGAACCCTCAGCCGTCCAAGAATTAAGCAACCAATGAAGTTTTGTAAAGCTATGTTTTATTTATTTTTTATTTAAATGGAAGAACTCTAAAATATTTTTTCTTTTAGTTGTGATCCTGACAAAAATAAATTTGAAAATGCAGTATATTTTTGGCATGAGCTGTAATAAACATGTCTGCTGGGAAGCACTCATACTCTGTAGATAAAACCTTCATTCGGATTTTTGAAGACATATTTTGCAAGGACAGGGAATGAGGTGAATTGCGTGTGAAAGTTGAAATCAACGTTGCGAAAGAAATGCTGCAGGCAAAATTATGTCGTTACTACGCCGTATTTATCCTTGACCCGTCAAGAATTGAGGAAGATAAAAATAAAAAAACTGCGCATCAGAATCAGCATGTATCAATCAAATGATATATTGTACAATACTGGTATTGCTGAAATCCGGTCATCACTGGTTTTTTTTCTCTTGTCCTTGTTTCTTCGAAGAACTACCGTTATTCTATAGTTTGCAGCAGTGAGCGACACAGAAACTGACTGGAAAGTCAGGTGCTCATGTGGATCCCAGTGTATATACGAGGGGTAAAGCAATATATATTTTTTTTTAATTGAACGGGAAACGGGATACAATTGAAGTCATCACTGTCACATGCTTCGGCACAAGGAAAAATGCAGCCATGCTTGAAATATTTTTCATAATTTTTTTGCAAAAGTCACACTGACAATTTTCTGCTATTTTAGTGAGAAAAAAATAATGCGCCCATTTTGCAGATTTGTTTGAAGTAACCCAGAATTCTCTTCAGAATTCTTGAAATTGACATGGCATTAATTTCGATAGTTTCCGCCGTGAATTTCTTATTGATTCCGCCATTTTCATTCAACAGCCCAATTGTCACATGAGATGAGTATGTGACGCTTGTGAATGTTTATAAAAATGGTGAAATCAAGTTGGAAAAATCTGGTGTCATCAACACCCACGGAATTGATGTCATGTCAATTTCAAAAATTCTGTCAGAGAAGCGGGACTATGCCAACAAATTTGCGATATTGTTTTGAGTAACGATCATAAATTTGCCCGGGTGACTTTTGCAACAACAAAAAATTTGCAAAAAGGGTGCTATAAAGCGGGCGGAAATTTTTCTTGTTCTGTCAAAGAATTTTTTTTCCAAGAAGGAATTTATTTTTTAGCTCCGTCATGTGCCATTTAAATATACCGAGAATAACTTTTGTGAGGCCCCTCGTTCGGGAATGCATCCGTGGGAACCGCGACGGGTGCAAACGGGAAAACTTTCCTGACATATTGTATATATGTATACAGTATACTGTACTGATGCACTGTAATATACAGCAGACAGAAAGAAATGTTGTATTAATCAATCCACTGTTTTAATATGAGCATAGCAGGACTCGAACGACGATATTTGTTTTTTTTTCTTCTCTCGTTCCATCAACATTCCCAGCAGAAAATCGTCAATTTTTTTTAAATTTTTCATGCAAAATTTTGACGGGTTTCGGCTAGAGGGAAATGAACCCTTGCTTTCACAACACTTCTGCAGCCTGCCCAAAATCATTCTGCATACAAATTGGAATTTAATCAAGGTTCATCAATAAAATATCAAGTTTTTACAAATTTAAAATTTGACCCCAAATTTGGAAAGAAACTCGAAGCTCAAGACAGAGTTTAGATCCTCGTTAATGCATCCGTTTGTGTCTGTCTCTGGTTAATTTTATACACTCTGGTTTTCAAACCAGCACTCCATAAACTACCCAAAATAATTTTGTAAAAACGTTAGTAGTCATCATTGTTTTTTTCTGTCCAATATCATCATGTTGGATCAATGAAACTTTTAAAATTTTCACCACGTTTGAATTAAACTCAAAGCTTGGGACATAGTTTTGATCCTTACTAATTCATTGGTTTTTGTTTTTCTCTTATTTACTTTGTATGAAAAATTATGCTGGCTTTTGGAAATAGGAGAGTAAACCCTTAATTTCACCGGATATAGCTTGCCATAAACTTTCCAAAATCATTCTGCACAAATATTGACAATTTAATAAAGGTTTATCTGTGCAAAATCATCATGTTGGATCATTTGTATTGGGGAGAGATGTTGCCTCAATATAAGTTAGTGTCAATCTGGTTCAGAAGTGTAAAAGCACATAAATAAAAGGCAATATTGAGCCTGGGACAGGAGCCAGAATTCCTTCTTAGAATTCCTGGGTTAAGAGTAAAATATATTTCAAAAGGAATATTCAACTATTGGGTAAACTCTTGCTTCAACTGAATAACTGGAATAATTCTGATGATATTCTTCTCTGCACTTGAATAGCTTCACAATTAATATTCAACCTTCACAAGGCTTCATCATCATCCCTTCATAAGGTTTATCATTTGAATTTGAGGTAGAGGATAAAACTCTAGAATATCTCAAGGAAAATACATCAGTAATGCCGCACTTGCCTAACATGCATCTTTCAAGCTTGACATTTTCACCATCTTACTGGAATCTAAAAGCTCAAGACAGATAGTTTCGATTCCTAACACTGCATTTCATTCGTTTGTGTTTTTATCTTGTCCAGGGCCAATACAACTACGGACTGGCGTCCCCATCGGCCAGCTCCGGCGGCGGTAGTGGCGGACCTGGAGGCGTGGCATACGACGACGCCTCGTCTCGCGGCGCCCAGGACGCCGCCGACTTGTGGGCCACCACCACCACCACCACCAGCAGCAACACCAGCAGCAGCGCACAGCAGCAGAATTCTGCTGTCGAAGACGGCTTGTCTGCTGGTGGCACCACCAGCAACAGCAGCACCACCACCAACACCCCCAATAACAATAGCACCACCACCCCCAGCACCACTGCCACCACCAACAATGGCGAGCAGTCTGGACCAGGAGGTGGGCCCCTGGCACCTACGGCCTTTTCTGAATCTGGGCCAGGTACCCCGGGGTCTCTGCAGCTATCGGCGCCTGTGTCTGTGGTGTCTGCGTCGCCGCCGCTGCCCCACTCGCACCAGCATCACCAACACCACCACCACCACCACCAACAGCACCACCAGCAGCACCATCAGCATCATCAGCACCTTGGCCACAACCACAATGCCCATCATTTACAGCAGCAGCAGCACCATAACCAGCAGCACCCCCACCAGCACCAGCACCACCATACGCACCAACAGCCTCAGCACTACTTTCATCAGGTATGCAGGAAGCCTTTTGTGCCAATATTTATCCTACCATAAACAGCGTGTTTCAAAGTTCAGTTAAAGGTAAAAAGGCAAACATAGGTTGCTGCTGGTGGATTGACTCTTTGTAGGATGAGCCTGTCTAAAATTTCTTTCTTTGTATAGCGAATTATTTTTTTTGTGGCTTGAAAGAGTTCTTTTCTAAAAAAAAGGTTCTATATGCAACAAAATCCTCTCCACAGCAAAATGTTGCTTGTTCCCTTGAATTTTGTTGTGGAGAGTCCACTTATTGTACAATACCATCAGGTGCTGAGTTTTTTTCTCTCTCACATTTGAAGGAAAAAATCGCATGCACATGAGAGGCAGATACAAAATTTGTAAAAAGGTTTTTGAAATTTAAGTATGTCTTATGCTTGGTTCGACTGTGAATTTCTGGACATATTTCAACAGAGAAACCTTCTTAATATGGATAAACTTGGAAGTTGCTTGAACTTGTGTTCAGTTCATACATAAACTCGGATGTGGGTGCTCTTGTTTTCAATGCAGTATATGTAGTTTGGTTTCTGAGTAGTAAAAAAAAGGGGTTGCATTTCATTCTCAGGATTTGCTTTAACCCTTGGACAGCAGAGTGTTCTTTCCCATAGTGGGAAAGAGTCAAATTATTTTTGTATCCTCCCGCATTTTCAGATTTTATAAGGTCAGGAAAACCCTTCCAGGTGGACTGAGGCAAAGTTGGGATAAATCCAAAAAAAAAGCAGGTAGCCTAACAGAGCGTTTTTTTAAAATTTACCGCACAAATTTTCTATGCCCAGGGAAAAAAAACATTGGGGTTTTTCCTGACTTTGCCCGTAACCCCCTGTTGACTTTTTTTTTCTTCACCTCTCTGAGGTGAAACAAAATTTTACAAAAATAGTCTGACTTTGCTGCCCAAGGGTTTTAATCAAATCTTTCAACTGAGGAACCCTGATGCACATTTCACTTTTTGAGGGTGTTTGGTACTTGATTTAATCCTGCACAGGGATTATTTATTCCACAAAAATATTGCTGATGTCAACCAAATACTTGAATTGGAGCTTATGTAGGAGGTATTTTCATCTGGCATCTTTTTATTTTATTCACTTAAGGGCCAAAAACTCTGAAGTGAGGCACTCACCCAAACTTTTCAGTACCCAGAATTGGGAGAACAATAAGTATCTTCAAGTAAGGCACACATCCCATTTTTAGAGCCTGAATGATGACCTTCATTTTGAAAATGAAATGCATCAACATTGAAATTTAGACTTGGATTTCAATCAAATTGAATGCTAATTTTTCATCTATTGACAATTCACTAATTTTTAAAATTTGTATGTAGACATTGGTTAGAAATTTTCTGTTGGAATCAAGTACTGGGTCCACTGAAGCTTCTAAATCCAAAAATAACGATATTTATAAACCAACCCATGATGTTCACCCTCTTTTTAATTCCCTAGTTTTGTAAAAAAAAATAAAAAAGATGTGTGTGGGGTATTCGAGTGAATTGCTATACAGCAGGTTGACTATCTGTACAAAAATCTTGTCTGAAAATGATTGTCTTTGTATCAGCATTTTCATAAGTTCTATACGGTTCTCTCCTCTATAACAAAAATCTCTCTACAACGGATGTTTTTTCTGGTCGGTTGAATTATGTAGGACTACACATTTGGAAAGAATGCAATTACAGTACTGTACTCTCTACAACGAAATTCCAGGCGCCAGAAACAACTCTTTTTTTCCAGAGAGAATTTTGTCTGGTATAGTCTCCGAAATGAAAAACACAGTTTTGGAGACAACTTTTTCGTAGATGGTTCTCCTGCATTATTTTTGACAATAAAATTGCTGGCATTCATCACAGATTCCCGTCAAGTTGGAGAACGCGAGCATCACAGAGCTGGGCTCTTCCGGAGGCGGCGGCGGGAATGCGATGAATGGCCCGCAGCAGGTCGGGCCCAGGCCAGTGGACCTGTCCCACCAGCATCAGCGAGCAGCGTCTGCCGGGGACTCTGTGGCTGGGATCGGAGACCCGCAGCAGCAGCAGCAGGGTGCAAACACGGCTGCTGCAGTCGTGCAGGACTTGCAGCGTCGCCAACAGGACGTGTACCGGCCCAATGGACTCGGCCTGTCCTCAGACCACGGTATGTGTCCTACTCATTGCTGAGAGCATATCTTGTCTCTTTTAATTTGTTTGTGTGTTTGTGTGTGTGTGATGTTGCTGTGTGGTTCATTGCAAGGGCAAGAAATTCCAGGTGCCAATATATGGCAAAGCTCATCCGCAAATACTATATATATACAGCACAGTACTGTAATTTTGTGGGTATTATTTTTGAAAGGGAGCAAGGGAATTTAAGAAGGAAAAGCGTTTGAATGAACTATAGCACTGTGTTTAGGGATCTCTGCTTTGTTATTTGTAAATTTATTAGGCACATTTTTAAATTTTTCAGCAAGAATTTTTTTTCAGGAACCAATTAACGGATTTCACAAATTTTGTTGCACCTAAGAGAGGTGAAGAAAAAAATGTCAACAGGGGGTTGAGGGCAAAGTCAGGAAAAATCCCAATGTTTTTTTCCCTGCAGACAGAAAATGTTTGCAGGAAAAAAAAACCCAGTTGGTGGAACGGCTTTTTTTTATCCTGACTTTGCCTCAGCCCACCTGGAAGGATTTTCCTGACCTTCAAAATTATGAAAATGTGGGAGGATACAAAAATAATCCAACTCCGTCCCGCTATGGGAAAGAACCCTCTGCCGTGCAAGGGTTAAGGGAAAACATGATCCACATTGCAACTCTTTCACCCAACAACCACTGCACAGCAACAAATTTTGGTCATTAGGCAAGGCACCACTGTACTTCATTCAAAATTACATTCAAAATTACACAATACTGTACTGTGTATGTGGCCATTCATCATATCAGAAACAAAAGACGTAAATATTTTCTACATCTAAAGTCATTATACAGTACATTCATCAGGACAAAAATATCATACAAATGATAGCCAGATGTGAGTTTCTCTTTTGAGTAAGTATTTTGCTGCTTACACATAGGATTTGTTGGTTGCAGAAGGTCAGAAGGTCTTCTGATTATTTATTCATCCATACAAGGAATCAAGTATGGTAATGAAGTATGGTCATGGTGAGAAACATTTATTAATTGAAGAAGCAGGAAAGCCAACACTTGTCAAACACTGTACGTTCTCCCCTCAAAAAAAAGCAACAATAACAAAACACACAAACATAAAAACCAAGTCATTCCTGCTCTCAATTTTAGTCTAGTACAAATTTGTTGCAGGGTTAATTTTGTTGCATAGAGAACATTTCAAACAATTGGAGAACCCTGCACAGGATCCAAAAATTGATTTTTTTTTATACAGAGAATCACTGCACAGATCATTGTACTGTATACCGACAGAATCCACCTGTAGCACATGCTTCTGACAAGACATGCTGGGTTCTGATCTCTGCCCAGTTCATACATTTATTTTGGGGAATAAAGAGTGAGAGTTACAGCAGGATATCTCTTGGAAGATCCCCCACTCTCCTTTCTTCTTTGCAAGTGTGTCTTGAAAGAAGGTCATCATAATCTTCAGCAGAAGAAGAAGAAGATAAAAAGAGAAAAGTGAACAGCAACAGCAGGATTTTACAGAGGGAATACAAGCACAGACAGAGACACTGAGGGTTATGGGTGGTGATGATGATGGTTGGGTTCTTCTCTCCATATATACACCCTCTGACCCAGCAGTCCAGACTGCAAAAGAGGAGCAGGAGGAGGAGGAGGAGGAGGGGGTGGTCGTCGTGGGTCCATACAGTAGTACATATATAGTATTGCCGTAGTGTGGAACAAGAAGTGAGGGCGCAAGCAGGCAGGCAGGCAGGCATCAGGGATCCCTCGCATGCACTCAACCCTCCTCTCCACACTCAACTCCACATATACATGCCGTGCAGCTGTTGGGGTCTCGCGCGGGCCGCGGGCGCGTGGGAAAATATCGGAAGTCCGCAGGTGTCGGCTGATAATGCATGGGTCGTCGTCGTCGTCGTCGTTCGTTCTGCTCGTTCGTACACTGCTTCCTTCCTTCGTCGGTCGGTCGTTCGTTCCTTCGTTGTCGGCACAGGATGAGGAGCAAACACACACCACAGTTCTCTCGCTCTCTCTCCTCTCTGCACATGTGGTTCCCAGCAGCAGTCCCTTTTTTTTTGCTGCTGCATATAGTGTATACTATGGCCAGCAGTGGCAGAAGCAGTCGCAAGTAGTTCTATACCGTCCGCCACAGTGGTCGTCGTGGTGGTGGTGGTGGTGGTGGTAGTTAGTGGACAGTGTGTGTGCCACAGGGCGCAACCATGCAGTGGACAAAGTGGTCATGCTGGTTATATTGTAGTGGTGGTGCCCAGGTGGAAGTCTTGGTTGGGTGACCAAGAATAGAGCAGAATGTGTTCTGATGGATTGATTGATTGATATGCAAGCTTTATTCCCTCAGCACACACATATATAGTGGCCACTCAAGAAAGATTTCCTTGATGGTTTGGCTGGAAGGAAATGCAGTTGAACCTCAATTACTTATTGAACCTCTCTGAGGCAAATATAACACTGTACCTCCTGAAGTCAAAATCATTTTTGTCAAGTCCCTGTCTGAATCCCTTTAGAAACAATACATTGAAAGCCTGCCAAACTCAAATACCTTTCCTCTCAAACCTCCATATGTCAAATTTTCTGATGCCTTTCGGCTATTTTTTTTGTTTTGAAACAGGATGAAAGAGATATATTAAGCAATATATAGTGTCAATTTGATCTGTAATCAATGGATGGGAAAGACTGAATAGTTTGGTAAATGGACCTGCAACCATGTCAACTCATTTAAGAAATGATTGAAGACCCAGAATATCCACTGTTTACAATTTCTTCAGTTCTTCCATGTTTCCAAAAACAAAAAGGCTTGTTTTTCTGACTGAAAACATCCCTATGTCAAAGTTTCTTTGCATGTTCCTTGAAATTTGAATTTGAGGAAAGTTTCAACTGCACATCACTGTACATCAAAGTACATGAATGATGAATCACCAGGAATTTTCTTCTTTCCAAGAGTTAGTAACAAAAATCACAGCTTGAGACAAAAACTAAGCAAAAATTGAAGCGCAAAGCGTTCAGCTTGTTCCCAGAAAATGTTTATTCGATTTAACGTTTCTCCCAAATATTCGGATAACGGTTTTACGTAGGCTGGAATGGAATTATTAGATAATCTGATGTTTCCATTTGCAACGATTCTCACTTGTAACAAAAGAGCCTCTGAGAATGTCATGAATTGAATAAATGCTTGTTGAGATCCTGAGAGAAATTGATTCCCTTTTCGAATTATGCAAAGTCGGAGAATTAAAGAAACGCAGCTGGAAATAATTTTCTGAAATTCAAGTACAGTAATACTTCATAATGATGATTAATTTAGTAATCTTCCGTGAAGTGTTTTTCTTTTTATCTGTTTGATAGAGTTTATCTCGAGACAAAGGAAGTCCCTGTATTACGCGTCTTCAAGTGCATATGTTTTCACTCAAATGAGCACCTGGAGCCATTTGTCGCACGAACACCTTGTGAAAAAGTGGTATTTGTCTACAAATTATTATTTTTTTCATGAGGAATTGTAGGCGGTTTATCTTTTCTTTGCCGAAGATGTCGTGAAACTCATGCATTCAAATAAAAGTACATTAGCTTTAAAATGTTGCCTTGGAACACATTATTGAGAACGAAATTGTCTTCAATCAGCGATGGGAAAATTAGGACGTTTAGTTAATCAAGGGAATTCTACGGAAAACTTAAATTTTCCTCCGCTGAAATATTCTGTAATACTGAACCTCTTCAACCAGTCGGAAAGTTCAAAGAAAATAATGAAAACATTTTTCAGCCGTAATGGTGAATATCTTACTAAAAATGCTGTCAAGGTTTAACGTTCCCGAGGACAGTTTTTTTTAATTTTATCTCAATTTTACTGGAATATATATCTGCTCGCCACGATTACATGAAACGAGACGTTGTTTTAAACAGAAGTGATCGGTGATACATTATATTTGGCGTGGTTATCAGTTGTATTGAATGAGGAGCTACTCTACGCAAATGAATTTCGACTTCCCCGTCGCGCTTAATTTTATCAAATTATATAAGACCGTGCTCTGTTATGAAGTCAACAAGAGTGTTTTATAAAACTAAAAAGTACAGCTGTTATATTCTTTAGGCTCGGTATTTTCCCTCTTGATTATGCTGAAAGCAGAGGAAAACTATTAAAGTTGCAACACGAAGTTCTTTTTTGACAGGATGACCACTCAATTTTCTTCCGGGTTCAATGTTCAACCAACGTTTTCTCAATTTATTTCTCGTATTTCAAAGTATCCTATTCCTAAGTCTCGTCAGAAGGAGTTGATTTCAAGGTAATAATGTCCTTCGATTTTCAATTGATCCGCGTGGAAACTTGCAACTCAGCTACGAATGCTGGTCGAAAACGGCGGAATGAAAACGTTTTTCCATCAGTTATAATATTTCGAATGTGATTTTAATATGAATATTAATTGCTTTTCAACGTAGGAATCCAAAAGCAATCATGAACTAGTTGTCCCTGCAGTGAATATTGGGTAAAGGCAATTAACACGCTCAGGTTATCCGTGTTATTGTTCTTTCCATTGGTGATTTCTTGGCTAATTATTTAGCCAATTATTATTCTCAGACACTTGCTTGAAACAGTGTAGATAATCATGTTTTCGAACTCAGAGAAGCCTCGAAGGCGTTGATACGTCTTGAGCATCTAAAAACAAAATCCAGAAAATTTGCCAAAATATTTACGTGCGTGTGTGTGTGTGTGCGAAGCGAGTTCTGCGATTATTGACGTTAATTGCAGTCAATGTTGCCCGAGATACTGATGGCAGGCAAATCCAGAGTTGGAAATATTAAATCCCAAATAGAATGTTTGTGTGTGTGTGTGTCTATGTTTGCATGCAAGAAAAATGTATGGGTCAATTGAATCAGTGTCAAGTTATGCAAAAGGCATAAATAAAACACTGGCGGACTCTCTTAACAATGAAATTCAGGGACCAAAGAAAAAATTCACTGAAGAGAGGATTTTGTTGTAGAGCAGTGACGTGTTCCTCAACCCTTGGTCTGTGGACCAACACCAATCCACAGAAAATTAGAAAAAAATACAGAAATTATCTTTGCTGTAATAAATTTACAAAAAGTATCAATGAAGTCTACTTATCTTCATCTGAAAAATTCTTGGAAAATGTAAGTTACATTTTCTCTTATTATGCTGAAGACCAATTCTCGCCCACTGAAATACATTTTCAACATTTTTCATTCTCTGAAATCTTTCTTTAAGCTAAGATATCCAATTTTTGAAGGCATTCCACCATATACCTGCTGCGTTGATCCTCAATGTAATGTTTGAAAAAATAGCAATATTTTCAAATATCTGCCATATAAATAGTCTTGAAAGAAAAAATTTTTCCTGACTCAACTTTTTTATGAAACTCTGCCAGTCTGCAGAATTTTTTTTTTTTTTAATTTCTCAGTCTGTGAACACTTTGATGGAAATTTGCTGATGCCAGGGACCAAAATGGTTGAGGAACACTACCCTATACACGTCCATCCAAAATATTTCTTGAACAGAGTAATCATTGCAGATGAGATTTTTGAGAGAGAGCAAGATTCATTCTCACCTATGAACACTGTATGTACTGCAATAATAAAAACTCCAACACCACACACACAACCCAAAACCACCACATCACAACCCTCCCCTCATCATCCCCCCTTTTTGTCTTTGTAAAAACGGTACCCTCTATATAGCAAGCAGCAGCAGCTGTTGCCAGCTTCCCTTATATTCCCTTCCCCCACTCCAACACACACACACACAAACCCCCTCTGAAACTTTAGTATTTTGAGGGGTGGGGAGGGTAGGGGAAGTGGATCTGCATGCAGGGAAGCGCGGAATGGGAGAAAGAGAGAGAGGGAGGGAGGGAGAGGGGGGCAGGACTATAAACTGTCTAGTGAGAGAGAGAGAGAGGGAGAGAGACAGACACACACACACATACACACACCCCTGGGGGTGGGTGATGGGGATCTATACACTAGTGCCAGTGCAGGGCCCCGCGGCGCACCAGTTCCTCATCACATCACCACGCGGGCGGGATTCGTTCGCGCAGATACGAGGGGTTTCGCATGCGTCGTCCCGCCGATTATTCCACGAAATATATAGTGAACAGTACGTACTTTACATTATTCAAGTTTTCCTGAGAAATTTGTTAAGACATTATTTATCAGAAGAGAGAGAGAGACGTTTGTTTGTGTGTGTGGTGAAAGTGTGTGATCCAAAGTCTCTGTGTGAAATGTGCTCATTCAATTGTTGTGCGTGCTGATGGTCGATTGCAAAGTTCATTTACACATTATCATAGCAGTGCATTCTTCGAAAAATTGGGCTCGGTTATAATGTAGCAATGTTCAGAGCAAAAAATTAGTGTACTATTTAAAAAGTGCTGTGCAAAAATAAAATAGGTGACATTGTTTTTCGCGCATTGTTATATACCCCTGAAGTCATTCGAAATTTAGTTCATATCAACGCGTTTCATCAACGTTTAGAGTTTTCGAAATGAGTTTTCGATTGTGCGCATTTGGTTTTTCTCGTCTTGAAAAAATGCAATTCTCGATCATGTTCCAATTGAGAAAAGAAAACTAAAATGCGAGTCAATAGACTCAATACTGAGTCAAGTTTTTCCAATTTCGGTCTTTAGGAGTTGTAAATTGAAAACTCTTTTCTTTTCTCGGATTAAGTGAGAACAATGAAGTTATGACCGATAAATGATATCTCACGGTTTTTAGGTTTGGGAGCGAGCTTAATTATGATACAACAATACTGATGTTCGTTGTGAATAGAATCATAGACACACGCTGTACAGTTTCATCAATTTGAAAATCAATTCATCAATTGGCAGGCGCAAAAAAAATAATGGTTTGAAAATCCAGGTGCCTATTATGCATTACTCGATGCTAGTGAAAAATTGTGTACCAAGCTTTAAAAAAAACGCAATGTCATACGTTAAATGACATTTTTTTCAAGTTCAGGAGGGATTCATGTTCATTCAAATTTT